AACCGAAAATCGAGGTTTTTAGCCTCGTTAAAATAATTACCAAAATATTTTAAAGACGGGATAATGCAAAAATCATAGCCCAAATCTTAAGCAAAATGCCCCAACACAACCCTTTGAGGGTGCGCACCATGGCTGCTAGGCAGCCCATGGCATGGCGCCATGGTGCGTGGGCGAGGCCTGCTATGCCCAGCAAGCATCGCTGCTAGCCCAACTGCCTGCTAGCATGCTGCGCATGCCTGCTAGCATGCTGGTGCTTGCGAGCTGCTTGCGTGTTGGGCTAGCGCCTACTAATGCTAGCCAGCATGCATAGGCAGCTCCTGCCCAGCCATTGCCCCACGCATTGCTGCGCCCAGCAAGCTCCCTGCCACACACCCACACGCATCATCATGGCACACCCTTATGCGCACCATGGGCAGCCACATGTGAGCTGCTGGGCAGCCCGGCTAGCCTTGGTGGCGCTTGGGTGTTTATGCCTTGATTTGCGTGCCAATTCTCGAAATTTAATTCCGATTTGTGTGTGACAATAATTTATTCTAAATTACATTTTAGAATCAATTTGAGGGAAAATAAAATAAAATTAAATTAAGTCCTACTTAAATAAGATTTATTTTATTGGTGCACAAGCCTAAATTATCCAAAATTTTAATTTTGAACAAAATTAGGTCTAACTTTATGCTTAAAATAAAATGAGCTATGTCCATAATTAATCTTGCCAATATGCAAATTTATAATGGGTTTGACAAATGGGAGTTGGAAAAATAAATTAACCATCCAATGATAAAAATTTTCCAACTTGCATACTTGCGTAAAATACCAAATTACATCTTCTAATATGAAGATTAGTCAACTTTTACTCACAAGTAATTGAACTTGATGGATTTTAATCAACCAAACATGAAAAATCCAAACTTTGTTCAACATGGAATTTAGGGTTAGGGTTCCAATCATTTAAAACATTAAAGATTAGAACTTTAACATTATAGGAACTTAAAATTACAAGATCACAACAAGCTTTCACATTTTATTGCAATTTATTTGCAAAATTTGTGAAAAACAAGTTTATGTGAAAAAATGGTATATCAACTTAAGCACTAATAAAAACTCCATTATTATGCTTAAGGATATTTTAAAACCAGTAGATTAGTGATGCAGATGTGCATTTAATCTAACCTTTTAATGCTTGCATTAATCAAGGCTTAAAAGAATTAAAATTTTCGTTGAAAAACGAAAAACCCTAGAAAAATTGGGTTTCTGGTTCGAATTTGGCTTCTGGGCAGGCCTCAAAGGGTTGAATCTGTTCCAGAATGTCGATTCCACCCAAAAATCACTATTTTTGAGCCAAAATCTGGGTTCAACAACCAAATCGAAATTAAAATCGAGTTTTAAAATTAATTAAAACGATCATCTAATCTAATCAGAAGACCATGAACCAGAAAAAATAAATTCTTTTAAAACACCTTAATTAAAAAATAATTGCAAAAATTAAAAGGAGCGTGGCTCCGATACCGCTGTAGGGTTTCGTAGTGACCCGACACTACGCGGAAGGAAACCCACCAAGACCCGCCCCTTAATTAAAACAATTAACAAACATATTAAACTTAATCAAACAAGATTAAGAACAAGAATTATACCTTTGTCGCGTACTTCGCTCCCAAAGAGCTCTTACTTCAAAATCCCGAAAACACGAGATCTCCGATGGATCGTACCCTCGACCCGACCCGAGCGTCCTAAGTCTTGAAGGTTAGTCAAGACCAGGACAAAATAACTATGAGTTTTACGAATCAAAGGTTTACTCTTAATTAGAGTTGCCTTTTTAATTCCACTCAAGGTTGTTCATTTCCCAATACCCAAGCTTGGTATTTGTAGAGAAATGAACCCTTGATTTTTCATCCTCCAACAATGTGGGAGTGTTGAATATCAATGATTTATTTAATTTCCAAATTAAATAAATAATTAAGTTAATCACATTTCGACAAGTGGCATGATCATATGCAAAAGAGTGGTGGCCAAGGTTAGGTGGGGGACCATATGCCTTGCTCCCCAAGGCCTTGATTTGGTCCCCACATCCTATGCACAAAACCGGGTCAAGGAAGGCTAGCTGGCTGCCAGCTAGCACTGCCTTGCTGCCCAGCACCCCAGCCAGCCAGCCAGTGCGTGTTGCTGCTGGGCTGGTGCTGGCGCTGGTGTGTGCTAGTGCCATGCGCTGGTGCGTGCTGGCGCTGGTGCTATGCCTCGCATCTCTCGCACCATTGCTAGCATGGCCAGCATGCGTGCTGCTAGCGAGCCACGCATGCTGGCCCCCTTTCCCTCGCATCATGCTACGCACCACGCACTACGCAGCACGCTACGCAGCATGCACCACGCACTACTCGCACACGCATCAGCCAGTGCCTAGCACTGCTATGCTTGGTGCGAGGCACGTACACACTCACATGCACATGCGCTAGTGCCCAGCACTGCGATGGCTGTGTTTGGTGCGTGTGTGGCCCTGCCATGTTCACCCAGGCACCCAGGCTAGCACGATGCTAGCTGCGATGGGCTACCTGGTGCTTGTGGTGCTTGCGATAGGCTCCCATGCGCACCCAGGCATCCATGCTAGCATGCTGCTAGCTGCGATGGGCTGCCTGGTGCTTGTGGTGCTTTGCGATAGGTTGCCATGGCACGCCCAGGCTGCGATGGTGCACCTAGGCTGCGATGGTGCGCCTAGAGCTTGTGATGGGCTGCGATGGCACGCCTAGGCTGCGCCTAGCCATGCTAGGTGCATGCTAGCTCGAACTAGCCTAGCATCCACATGGCTAGGCCAGTGTGTTGCTAGGGCTACATTCATACTTGTCCCTTTGTGATTTTGCGACGCTCGGTCTCGACGCCCTAGGCTCGATATCCGACGTTTGTATTCGTAAAACTCTATCGACTCATTAAATCCTTTTGGATTAATTCTTCGTCTCGTATCGGTGATTCGATTAGGTTCGACCCGAAGGGTTCAGTTAAGATTAAGCTGTAACATTAATTGTACATTGATATTACTGATCGGAAGCGGCCTCCACCTAGGCATTCCGATCACTTGACCTTATTGAAGAATTAGCTCCGTAATAATTCTAAACCCTCTATCGGAATAATACACTTGTTGGAAGGACACCATTCCTTTCAGATACTTCACCCTGTTTCTGAGTAAACCTAGAACAAATCGTAAGTTAGAGTTAGTTGATGATGGGGCAATGTTAAAAATGTGGGAGTGGAATGAAGGGAAGAGTGAAGTAGAAGTGTTTATAGAAGAGACAGAAACACCATCTCTTGTGTTTGAGTCTGCAGAAGCTCGTTAGGCAAAAACTTTGAAGAAGTGGGCTGAAAATATTAGGCTAATGGAGGAAGAGAATAGAAGGAAAGTAGAGGAAGCAGAAGCTGAGGAGCAGCTTTTGGCCCAGCAGGCATATTCTGTGGCTATAGAGGTCCCTGTTGTGGATGCTGTTGATGATGGGATTGACTATGTAAGGGTGTTTGCTATCCCAGCAGCTGATGAGGTTTTTACAGGGGATTCACAACCTCAACCCTCACAAACAAAAACATCTCAACCAAAGAACCCTTTAAGTAGAAAAAAACTTACCCCAAAGAAGAAGAAAAAACCCCCTACACAGTCCACTCAACACAGACAGCCCTCTCCACAAAGACAGCCCACACCTCCACCACCAAATGTTTCCCAACAGCATCCTTCCCCACCACAAACACCAACACACCAACCCAGGCAGCCTACACCCCCTCCACCACAACCACCACACCCAACAGCAAGAGCACCAAGGCAACCAACCCAGCCTAAAGCACAAACTAGGCTTAAATCCAAAGAGTGGAGGGTGCCTAGAAGCATAGCAATTAAGTATGGGCTTGATGTTGGGAAGAAAAATGCAGCAGGGAGGCAAATCAACACTAGGAGCAAAAAAAAAATTGGTTGTTGAGGAAAGTGATGTTGAGTCTAATGATTGGCCTTCTGATGATAGTGAAGATGCTTATTATGAAGTTTCTGATGTTGAGGCTGATTATGATATGGAGTTGGACATTGAGGATGAGTACATTGTGAGAGAAGAAGATGTTCCTGATAATATACCTGAGAAGAGCTTTGAGGATTACTTAGATGGGTCCCATGTGTTAGACAAAATGTACAAAAATGGTAAAATCTGGTCTCACTTACCATTTGGATCCATTGAACTTGAAGAGTGGTTGATTTTTGAAACCAAACACAGTTTCTAGAGGTTTTCAGAGATTACTGCATACAAGAGGGCTTCTCTGTTTCAGTTGACCATGCTGACAGTCAAAGGTACATAGCAAGGTGTCTGATGAGGGATTGCAATTGGAGGATTCATGCTTCAGTTCTGAGAGACAAAGTCAGTTGGGCCATAAAGAAGCTAGAAGGAGAGCATGCAACTTGTGGGAGGCTGGAAGAGAATCCTATGGTCTCTTCAGCATGGCTATGCAGGCATTTGTTTCAAGACTTAGAGGCAAACCCAAATGTCCCAGTTGATTCATTACAGAGACTGTGCATGGAAAGGTACAAGATCCATGTGAAGTTGAGGTTGTTATACAAAGTGAAGAGTTTAGGCAGGGAGCAATTACATGGTGGGTTTGCTGAGTCCTATGCAGCTCTTCCAAAGTATGCTGAAATGATAAAGTCCACAAAACCTGGGTCATATGCTCTTATTACATGGACTGATAGTGGGGATCATATTTTGAAATTCAAGGCCTGTTTCATATCTTTTGCAGCTCAAGTGAAAGGATTCTTAGGTGGTTGTAGACCTATCATAGGAATAGATGGGGCACATTTAAGTGGGTATTACAAAGGGATTATGCTCACTGCAGTTTCAATTGATGGGAATAATGAGATTTTTGTGTTAGCCTATGGGATTGTTGACACAAAGAGCATAGATTCCTGGACTTATTTCTTCAGAAACTTGAGGTGCCTGTTTGCTTAGTATGGATCTCAGAAGGATGACTGGACTTTTATAAGTGACAGGATGAGGGTAAGTTTCTTCTTCGTCTTTAATTTGTAATGATGATGTTGTTTACTAACTTAGTCTTGTTTTTTTTTAAGGGGGTTGAATCAGCTTTGTTTGAGGTGTTCCCAAGAGCTACCAGGAGAATATGCTGCCAGCATTTGTACTCAAATTGCAAGGGTGCAGGATGGAGTGGGACAACATTTCATAAGCTGTTTTGGATTGCTGCAAATGCCTACAATGAATATGTGTTTGGAAAAGCAATGTCCAAGATAAAAGAGTATGATGCAACAGCATTTGATTACCTGACAAATGTGGAAGAGCAGTGGAGTGTGCACATGTTTGACAGGATAGTATGTTGTGATCATAACACAACAAACTTCGTAGAGTCATTCAATGCAATAACAAAGTGCAACAGGGACATGCCTCTATTGACATTGCTGGAAGGTAAACTGTTGTGCCTATTTTGTTCATTTCAATGCATACAAATTGGTTTGTTTGTACCATAATAAGCTGATGCTATGTCTGTGTACTTGTTGTTGCTTCCCGTGACTTTCTTTTTTGGGAATAATTCAGCTGTTAGGAATTGGTGCATGAAAAGGATGGGTTCCAGGTTCGATAAAGCAGTGGACATGGAACCAAATCAGCTGACAGAGCATGCACAGGGGGTGTTGGATACCAGGACTTGTGAGTCTAGGTTCTGCCATGTCACTGCAGCTGGTGGTGGAGAGTTTGAGGTGAGGGATGGCCATGTCAAGTTCCCTTTCACACTTGGGAATATGACTTGTGGGTGTGGGAAATGGCAAGGATTAGGGATCCCATGCAAGCATGGTCTCGGGGTCATTTACAACCAGAGATTTGAACCCAGGGACTTTGTGTCCCCTTTCTACAAGGGGGCTGCATACAAACTGACTTATGGAGACCACATCCACCCCATGGCTAATCCAAATCACTGGTCATCACTTGATGTGCCAAGAATTGCACCACCCCAAGGCAAAAGAAGTGCAGGCAGACCAGCTAAGCAAAGGAGAAGAGCCCCTCATGAAGCAAAAAAAGGAAAGAGGCACAAGAACAACAAATGCAGCCTATGCAAAGAACTGGGACACAATGCAGTGACCTGTAAGGCAAGAAAGGCAGAAGCGAAGAAGGAAGAAAATGCAGCTTCCTCTTCACAGCAAGGCAACATAAGGGGGAAGAAGAGAAAGACTGCTACTTAGCATTGTTGAAGCTGGTTGTCAAGTGTAATTTTTTGGTGAACAATGTTTAATCTTAAGTGTTTAGTGTCAAGTTGTTTTTGAACAAAATGTTAAGTACTTGGTTTATTTGGCACTTCTTTTGTTTCTCACAATTCCAATGTATGTAATGCAAGTACTCAACAATTATGTAGGCATATTTTTTTGCAAACAATGTTAGCAATTGAAGTGTAACTTATTTAAGCAACGACATTTTTTGTCTTACATTTTTCATTTCAAGGCTACTCTTTTGCTGTTTTTATTGCTCCTATTTTTATTGCTCCATTCACTATCTTTTGCTATTTTGCTACTCTTTTCTTCAGCTCCTTCAACTCTTGCTTCAACACGGTCTCACTTCCATGCGTGTCTATCCCTCCTCTGCTTTGATTTTCATAACCCCACGAGACATTTTGATCAGCATTGCCCTTGCACCATCTGAATGTATCACATACATCACACTTATAGTACAACCTTTGTGGATTTTTCGCCGAATCGGAGCTTCTTATTGCAAACTTCCTACCACAACAAACATGCTTTGTTTGGCACCCTTACATACGAAGACCCGAAGGAAGACGATGATGATGATGATCTCGAGTTTGTGGACATCTTTGCAAATGCTCTTAGAGGTGTGCCTTGGTGCGTGACTCCCTCAAGAACTACATATATTTACACAAACTAGCCGTTATAACTGTTCGACGGCTATATTTTAAAAAATGGTATTTCATGCAAAAAAACATAAAATTATGGTATATGGTGAATTAGTAATTTACCCCAAACAGCACACTAACGGAAGTTACCATTAATGGCATTCTGTGTTAACGTACAGTAACTGAATGGTATATGGTGAATTAAAATTTTTTGTGTGGTATATGGTGAATTTTGAAAAAACTCAGTGGTATTTCATGAAAAATCCGTAGTTCCTATTATTCACCTTGGTTCTGATTAGTTCCTAGTTCCTATTATACGATTGGTTTTCATTATAACCTGGTCCTATATAGAATCAAGATCATGTGAGAACCTAGGTCTATAATAGGAACTAAGAACTCATCTGGACCGTAGATCTCGTTCAATCTAACGGCTCACATTCCACCCGCCTCATTAAGGGCATTTTTGTAATTTACGCATTGAATGACCTTCGTCCTAACTCATACATCGCTTCATTTTCTTTCTCTCTCTTCTTCTGCATTTTCTCTCTCCTCCTGCAAATTCTCTCTTTCGATTTATCTAATCTCGTCGCATGTCATCAATTTTGCAAATTCTCATCTCTGATTATTGTTGCTTAGGAAAATGAATGGGCAGGTACGTTGATTTATTTTCATTTTTGTTGTTGCTTTGATTCAATTCGATTTTGAAACAAGTTTTTGCGAATTTGATTGCGAAAATTAGGGTTTTCCCAATTATTTGTTTCAGTATTTGTGATTATAGTTCATATTTTAGGGATTTTGCAATTAAATGTTTGCATATTTGCAATTTAGATTGTTGAAATTAAGGTTCATTTTTGATAATTTTTGTTCGCTTATTTTAATCAGATTTATGATTCCATATTGTTTCGGTAGTAATTTTATGTTCTATTGTTATTTGGTTGTAATAATTATAATTCGTTTGATATAGTTGATACATTTTAATTGCTAAATTTGCAGCATTCTGGTTTGATTTTCTTTTCAGAAGTAATTTGATATTGGTGCTTGATTGTGGCTTTCAGATCTGGATTTGTTTGCAAAATGATCTTAGAATTGGTTAGGGCTATAATGAGGTGTTTAATCAAAATCCGGGAATTCAAGGAAGCTTAGGTACAATCGGCTTATCAGGGACATATAATTTTTGAGATTTTGAAAAGTGCAATGCATTTCTAATTGTTTTCCAGGGGATAATTCAATGGTGAATTGGATTATCAGGGATATGCTTTGGGTGGTTGGATAATAATTTACTTTTTACACTGATTTACTTACTTTTAATTTGAAAACCTTTACTTTAACCTCAACTCATATACTTTTCTTTTGGTTGATTACTACTCATTTTTAGAGCGATATAAAAGGAAATGACTCGTTCTATGCTCATTTATCACTTTCAATGACTTCACTATACAAATACAATTGAATTTTTTTTATTTTTTTCTTAATTTACTTTTGGTATTGTATTGTTTACTTTTAATTTAAAAACCTTTACAATGAACTCCATACTACTTATTTCTTATAACTTCACAAAGTCACTCCATGATTTTTCAGAGTATGTTGCTAGAGTCTTTAAGCCAGTTGAGGTTACAAGTGCTGCTACCTCTAGGACTTGGCGTCTCCCTGTTGTTTGGCCTATAAAAATCAATTCTGATGCCCACTTGGCTGCTGGAAACCAGGTGGGGTTGGGTGCAGTTCTTAAGAATGATGCTTGGTGTACTGTAAAGCGCTTGAGAGCAAGGTGGAACGTGGAGCAGGCTGAAATTGCTGCTGCGAGGCTAGGTGTGTTGCTAGCAGGTCAGTTGGGGTATGCGAAGGTTGAGCTTGAATGCCATGCTTCCAATGTTAGTTATCTTGAAGAGTTAATTGGTTATGGTTGCTATTTGTTATCTTGAAAATTCCATGTGTTACTGACTCGTACCAAATATAGTGCGCGGTCGATTTATTGGGTGTGACTTAATTATAACAAACAATGAAGGCAACATATACTTTATATAATTTTTATTTACTTTTAAGATTTATTAATTTACTTTTGATTTCTTTCTTTTTTTTCTTTTTACTTTACTTTGAATGTTCAATAATATTATTTACTAGCCTACTAGCTCAATAGGTAGAGCATTGTGCAAGTGCACAAAAGATGTGGGTTCGAATCCCACATAGGTTACTTCTTACGCTTCGAACCATTGGGTTACATATATTATTTTTTTATATTTAATTTTGAGTTTTTCTAATTTACTTTTGAGTAAATATTATTTACTTTAATGATGATATTATTTATTTATTTATTTGATATTTTGGTTTACTTTTTAGCATTTTGTATTTACTTTAGATTAATTATGATTTACTTTTGACATATGTTGCTCTACTTTTAATTTCTTTTCATAATTATTTTAATTTAAATTAAAGATATATTAATTTACTTTTTCAGATTTTCTATTTACTTTTGAGATTTTTATTTTTTTACTTTAGTGTATTTTTTTCCTTCATCATTGATCTATCAAACTGAGTGACAGGAATGAGAGCAGGTGTGTCCACTATAGGATCGAGTTAACCTCATGTTACAAAGATAATAAAAAACAACCTCTTTTGTTTGTACACCTTAGAGCTAATTTGATTTACTTTTGAGATGTTTTGAATTACTTTAGAGTGTCTAATATTTACTTTTAGAGATAACCTATGTAGGAATTGAACCTACACCTCTATGCATCCGCATAGTGCTCTACCACTTGAGCTAATAGGTTTACTTTAAAGTCTTTTTTATTTGCTTTAGATTAGATTTAATTTACTTTAGATTATTTTTACTAGTATTTTTTTTCATCAAGCTGACACCTTCCTATAAATCTGATGCAACAAAAAAAATGACAACAAAGTCTTTCTAGAGCGTAGCTATGCCTTTGCCATTTCAGAATAACTACAATGCACCCTATAGTGCCACCATAAGAGCATACTTTGTCCAGGGATAAATGCAGACATAAGAGCATTTTAGTAGTTGATGGGATCACTCTTTAGGAAGGATATTTTCCCAAACACCACACCATGACAAAACAACATAGGCAACAATCATAACACTAAGTAAAAATCAAACTCACTAGATTAAGCAAAACTACACTAGATACAGTAGAGCAAAACTATAGCAACATATTATAGATAATAGCAAAATAAGACTTCCAACTAATAGCAATTTCATAGATACGACTCTCATTAGCACAATAATGAGCACAACTAGTTGATGCAAAAACTGTGAAGATGATCTATAGTTACGAAGCACTTCTAGTTGGAGCAAAACTATACAGGCAGATGAAATATACTTATATTTTTTTTTTGAAAGAACCCACAAAGGGAACTAAATAGTTAAATCAGAGCAAGTTACATCAAGAATACGGGGTGGGATTACATTATTCCACACTCTTTGATCGATTTCCCAAGGTTGGAAGTGAGCCAATTCGTGTGCCACTCTATTCCCACCGCACTTAACAAAAGACCATTTAATGCAAACAAACATTGAAGACATCTCTAAAATATCCTCTAAAACTAAATGCAATGAGCTTGATCCTACTGACTTGTTTCTCAAAGCCTGAATGACAGCAAGGCAATCTCCTTCTACAATAATACTTTCCAGCCCAAGTCATACGCAAATTTCATACCCCATATGATAGCCGTAGCTTCAGCTACATTTGTCTTCCATCACTCGATGCCCTGCACCATAGAATAACCCTGAACTGAGCCATTATAATCACGCAACACTGCCCCCAGACCAGTCCCTGATTCCCCTACAACTCCAGCATCAACATTTAGCTTTCCCCACCCCTCATCAGGTGGTGACCAGGCTATAGGAAGGGGCATACCAGCACCCCCCTTTTGATTTACTCTTATCATATTTCTATCTGCTTATTATAGGGGGTAAAAATCCTCAACCATAAACTCATTGATTATCTACTTTTTATTTGAGCAATTTAATCTACTATTAAAAATATTTAGTTTACTTTTAGTGGAATTATATTCAAGTCCACTTATAATTTTACAGATTCTAGAATAAAAATTCAACCTACACAAAAATCCACATTCACCTCTCATCAATCTTGCTGCCAGCTTATCCACACCACAACAACAACACAAAGTAGTCCACAAGCAGCTATCTTCCTACTTCCTGGCCTCCTCAAAACTAACACAACAGCAACAACGTCTACCATAATGTTATTATAAATCGATTAAAAGTTACTTTATAACTTCTACCATTATCTTACCAAAAAAATTCTAGCACATTTGACAGTTAATCCATCTCACTTCGATTTGCAATAGAAGAATTCCAAAATCTACATTCCCTTTGATTTTTGATTTACTTCAAAATATAATCGATTTTACTTCTACTTAGTTTCTATCTGCATTTGAAATTGATAAAATAATAGGATTCATTGAGGAATTTTGTCGAACAGTTAGTGTGCATCAAAATTTAAATCACAATAGACTATTGAAAATCAAACAAAATTTAAATCTAACATCTCTGTATTGAAGTTTCGCATAACTACGAGCTTTAAAAGTCACCATAAAACAGTTATAATCACTAAGCTAAACTGAAAATGCACCAAACTATTGACGAATTTGCAAATATATGCTGCAAATTGATAGGATATATAATTTGATTAGGCAAAAAAAGTATTAAACCCTAAACATCGATTTATACGAAATTTCCAATGCTTACCTCTAACGTTGACAAATTTTGCAGCGAATTTAGCACAACATTGAAGAAGTATGTAAATTATAGCAATTTTTTCTGATATTGGAGCTATTGATTGAATTGAGAAAGCTTGAGGAGAGAGAACAATGGCGTCAATGATATGACAAAGAGGAGAGAGAAAATCGCGCAGGAGAGAGGAGAGAGAAGCTCATTCAATTCGTCTGATTTAATTTGGGCCGTTAGATCACGCGCCTTTTATTTTAGATCTGACGGTCCAGATTAGTTCTTTGTTCCTATTATAGGATTGGTTCTCATTATAATCTGGTCCTGTATATATATATAGAAATTAGATCTCGTACGAACTACCTTAAATAATAAGAACTGCGAACTAATCTTAGTCGTTTATAGCGTCAGATCTAACGGCTAAAGTTTCACCCGCCTCATTAAGGGCATTTTTGTAATTTTGGGCGTTGAATGACCTCCGTTCTAATTCTTTCTCTTTCTTTCTTACTTTCTCACTCTACGTTCATACTTTCTCTCTCTACATCTGATCTCTCTGAAGGCGATTTCATTGTTCGTCTTCGCTCTTTGATTTTGATCTTTGATTTCATCGTTTTTCTACTTCAATTTCGTAACTTCTTCGTTGTTCTTCTGCGATTTTCCTTTTTTTGCTGTGATTCGAACATTCTTGAGAGGTAATTTTTAGATTTTTTTTGTTGATTCATCATATAATTAGGGTTTTTGCTTTGTTTTTGTTCGATTTCGTTGTCGATTTCTATTATTATTGCTTTTGGTTTGATTTCTATTGTTATTTTGTTCGATTTTGTTTTCGTTTTCAATTTTACATATAGTTAGGGTTTTTGCTTTTGTTTTTAGTTTGTTTTTGTTCTTCTTTATTGATTTTTGCTTTAGTTTCTGAGTAATTTTTATTATTCTTGATTTCGTTTGATAATGTAATGCAATTTTTAAATATGTTTTACTTAAATTTGATTATGTTATGTTCACTACTGCTTTTTTGATTTTTTGATGTATTGTTTTAGTTTCGCTTTCACTTAAACAATCTTATTTGCAATTTTACTTAAAGCCTAACAAACACATAGCAAGCATCAATGTTCTAGCAAAAGTAGGATAGTAGCAGCAAGAGGCATAGCAGAAGTAGCATAGCAGCAGCAAGCCATGGCAAGCAGGAGCTGCAGCAACAGCCTTGGTAGGGCAGCAATTTCAGCTACTTTTAGTGATGTTTTGCTTTTACTTTTAGTGATGTTTAATCTACCTTTAATTTGGATTCATCTACTTTTCAGCATGATGTTTGAAACATTTTTTAAATATTTCATTTCCTCATTTTTTAATTGTTTTGCTTTTAGTTTTAGTGATGTTTTGTCTACTTTTAATTTGCATTCTCCTACTTTTCAAGATGATGTCTGAAACAGTTAGGCTCTCTTCTCCTGATGTTCAAGCTGGAGATGTTAATGTAAGCATTTTAAAACTCCTTCTCATGTTGTACTACCTAGGACAGTTCATAATTCTAAAGGTGGTAAAGAGTTTATTCCTGGTTGTTCACTTGTTCTATGGAAAATAAGCCTATTTTTAGAATGAAATTTAATTGTCTTCAAGATGGAATTGATTTTTATTATAAGTATGCTAGTGAATGTGGATTCAATGTCCGTCATAGTACTAGCAAGGTAGAAAAGAAGTTGCCTGGTCCTAATGGTAAAAAAGGTCTTGCACTTATTAAATATTTGGTTTGTAAAAAAGAAGGTTTTGTCAATGATAATAAGAAAGATAAAAAAGATGTTGAAGGTGCTGTTTTTAGGAAGAAGATAGTCAGGAGGATTGTGTGTCCTGCTATGATTAAGTTTAAGTATTGTGATGGTGGAAAGTATGTGGTTTATTTCTTTCACGAAAGCCATCGTCATCCCTTCTCAACTCCTACTACCAGACAGGTCACTAAACCATATGATAATGGCTTAACTTGTATTCATAGGAAGTTTATATTTGATAATTCAAAGTTTAACATTAGGGCTGTTATGTCCTATAGGATGATGAAAGAATATTGTGGAGGTTATAAACATGTGAGAGGCACTAAAAATCAATTTAAAAACTTTTCTCGTGACTTAAGAGTTAATATTTCTAAAGCTGATGGGGCTATGTGTATAGAAAATCTTCAACAGAAAGTCAAAAACAGTAATGGTGGTTATTATTTGGACTATTGTGTTGATGCAACTAGGCATCTAACACGGGTTTTTTGGGCTGATCCCATAGGGAGAAAGGACTTTCACTTGTTTAGAGATTCCATTTCTTTTGATACCATATATGATACAAATAAATACTCTTTAGTGTTCTGCCCTTTTACTGGAGTTGACCATTATAAACGATGTGTCACATTTTGTGCAGCGTTATTATCTAAAGAAGATGTGGAGTCTTTTGTATGGCTTTTTCAGACTTTTCTAAAATGTATGAAAAATGAGCCTTCTTGCTTTATAACTGACCAAGAACCTGTAATGGGTATTGCAATACATAAACTTTTTACCAAAAACGAAGCATCGATTGTGCAAGTGGAACATCATGAGGAAAGTGCCTGAGAAAGTGGGTACAACTTTCTGTAATGACACTGACTTTTGAAAGAACTTTGTGCTGTTGTTTGGGACAGGGAAATTGAACCTAATGAGTTTGTTGATGGTTGGAATACTGTGATGGAAAAATATGATTTGGTAGCTCATGAATGGTTTGCTTATATGTTCAAGATCAAGCATCTTTGGATCCCTGCCTATATTAGGGATTTATGAATGGGTGGTTTGTTAAGATCTACCTCTAGATCTGAGGGTGAAAACAACCTTTTTTGTAATTTCATAAATCCTCATGTGTCATGTGTTGAGTTTCTCCTTCGGTACGAAACAACCCTAGATGCACAAAGGCATGAGCAAGATGAACAGAATAGACTAAACAAGCAAATGCCTAAACTGATCACTCCATTAAAGTTAGAGAAGCATGGTTGTTCATTTTACACTCGTTCTATTTTCTATGAATTTCAACAAGAATGCGAGGCTGCTTGTTTTTCTTGTGGTGTTGAAAGCTGTAATTCTACTTATGGTGATGGAGTTGAGTTTTCCATTGTTGTAGATAATGAACGTCAAAGGAATTTTGATGTTACATTTAATTTATCTATACTAGAGTGTACTAGCACTTGCAAGATGTTTGAGAGTCAGAGTGTTTTGTGCAAACATATATTATTCATTATGAAAGGTAATCAGTATCTGAAATTCCTGAACATTATGTTTTGAATCGTTGGGGAAAAGATGTTATGAAGAAATCTACATCAGTGGATGAGGCTTCTAACTTTGACAAAAAGAAGCAACTAATCTCTGATGTGTGGTAAAAAATGTTCTCCTGTGTTAGTCTAGCAAAGGGTTCTGAGGATGATCTTTCTGATTTTGTTAAGTACTTGTCTTCATTTGAGGAAGAGCTTATGAAAAAGAACGGTGGTGAAAGTCTGTTACTTTTAACTTTGTTTTATTTACTATTATTTAGATTTTATTTACTTTAATACAACTTATTTACTTTTTGAATGTCAGGTATAAGTTTCAAAGAAGGCAAAGAAGCTGATATTCAGCTCTTTGTTGGATCTAATGTTGTTTATGTAGATATCTTGCCTCCGAATCAATGTCTCAACAAAGGATCTGCTAGAAGTTCTAAACGCTTGAAAAGTTCCAAAGAGGTAGCTGTTGAAGAAAAAAGCAAAAAAGGAAGAACTTGCAGAGCTTATGGGCAATAAGGTGTTTCTCATGACAGTGGAAACTATCAAAATAAGTAATTTCTCTGGTATGTTACTTTTAACATTGTTTTATTTACTTTTATGTGATATTTGTTTACTTTATTACAACTTATGTACTTTTTGTTTTTTTTTTCAGGTTCATCTGGGATAGGCAGGCTTCATTATTGGATTAATGCAGCTGATGTTAAATATGCCTTGAACTTCATAAAATATTTAGTTTTTTTTGTAATAGTTTTTTTTTTATTTATTATTATTATAATACTGCTCACTACAGTTACTTTAAGCAATTTCTTTTTAACTTTGTAATACATTATTTACTTTAATACAGTTCATTTAGTATTTTATATTATTTTGTATATAATAGAATTGGGGAATAGAATTTCTAATTTGTCCTGAGTTATATACATTCATCTCAAAGTTATGTTACAATCACTTTATATATGTATAATTTATTTTACATCTCAAACTTAGTGCAAATAATTTTTGTTTACTTTTAGCAATTTGTTTTGAACTTTTAAAGATATTTCTTTTACTTTTCATGTAATAGTTATTTCTATTGTTGAATCAACTCTATTGTTTGAGTAGAGAGAATAGTGAGTATGGGTCGGTTCAATTTTCGAGTCTAAATTTCGGGTCAACTTCGGGTCGGGTCATACTCGGGTCGGTTGCTATCTTTGCCTATCAGACCTTGTAATTTCATTTGGTATTGAACATTATGTTACGTACGCGTTATTATTGTACTTTTTTTTTCCAGACTTGTGAGAATTGTGACTTTTATTTAAGCTTTAGTAAAAAAATTTCTTAATCTTATGGACAAACTTCATAGAATAGTCGTTAATTTTCAATATTTTTACGAACTTTTAATAATGTATAACGCAATAAAGAAAAGGCCGAAGAAATCGAGAAAAGTAATACTCAAAATATGTAAATTACTTACACTGTTACACATTACAAATTAATAATAATAAAAAAATTAAGTCAGTTTGATTGCAATTATTTTCTATTTTGGTTTGCTCGGATCAATTCTTTTTCTTAAAGTTATTCTGGTCTTTTCAGGTATAAAGTAATTTTAATTCAGGTCACTTCGGGTTTCAGGTCTATTTGGGTCAATTAATTCAAGTTAAATTAGGGTCGGGTCACTTCAGGTGTCGAGTCAACTTCGGGTATTGGGTCAACTTCGGGTCGGGTCATTTTGGGTCGGGTCGTTTCGGGTTAGGTCATTTCGGGTTTCGGGTCAAGGTCGGGTCAATTCCATTTCGGTTCGAGTTGGGTTGATTTCGGGTTTCGAGTCACTGGTTTCGGGTGAATCTCGGGTCATGGGTCGAGTCATTCGGATCGGGTCATCGTGTTTGGGTTAGAATTACCAGGTCTACTTTATGTATAATTTATTTTAAACCTCATTTATGTGTAATTTATTTTACACGTATTGCAAATAATTTTTGTTTACTTTTAACAATTTGTTTTTAATTTTTAAAGATACTTCTTTTACTTTTCATGTAATAGATATTTCAAAACATATACATTTTTATTTAATAAAAATATACCCCATATGACAATGAGTGAACAAAATTAGAACACAACATAAATATTATTCTCATTTTTATGCATTACTTTAATAGATAATCCTTTTACTTTAATAGATAGTCCTTTTAGTTTAACAGATATTTCATTTACTTTTCAAAACGTGTTGTTTACTTTTTAATTTATATGAAAATATATTAACAAACATTTTTTTGCAATATAAGAATACTTAATAAAGAAAATTAAATTATATATTACTTTAATAGATAATCCTTTTACTTTAGGACATATTTTTTTTACTTTAAAAAACGTTTTGTTTACTTTTTAACTAATATGCACATATATCAACAAACTTTTCTATACTAAGACATTATATATATATATATATATATATATATATATGTGTGTGTGTGTGTGTGTGTGTGTGTGTGTGTGTGTGTGTGTGTATAAAATCCTTAGAAATCCTTCCTACAAACATCATATATATCCTGTAGACATCACAAAATTTAAATCTTTAATATAAACATCATACTTATCCTAGACACTAATATCTAAACTATACATCTATGCTGTCCAAATCTTCTATTTCTTCACCACCACCATTTCTATCTATTCCTTGTTCTTCGCTTTCTTAGCTTTGTTTTCTTCTGCCTCCTAAAATATTAATGAATTTAAAGAGTTAGTTGTACAAAAATTCTTATATTTTATATGAAAAAAAAATATAAACATGATTCTTACTTTCTTTTTCTTTAACTCCCATTCTTCAACATTTGCAAGTAGTTTGGTTTGCATTTGGTTTTCTTCATTGAGAAGTATTAGAAGCAGTGTTGTTATATGATGGTGTTTCAATCTTTTAAATTCCTGGACAATGCATATATGAATAGAAATGTCAACTCAAAAACGCTCAAAAACTTAAGACAATGCATATATGAATATTTAAACTTATAAAAATAGAAATGTCAACTTACATGTTTGATAGATCCCAGTCCCAAGCTATTCACACCATCATAAGCCTTCATGTGCAGCAATAGATAGCTTCCAGAGTAATTGTCTTGCCTTACTTTCTGGAATGGAAGTTCTATTAATCTGACATTGTAGTTCAGCATTTTTTCTGCCTTTGGATGCTTTCTTTTGTTCAAAAATTTTTGAATTTGATTTACCTGCAACATATATATTGTTATTAGATAACATTGAAACAGAATATAGTTCCTAAAATTTAACTTATATATTATGCTTACTGTCTCCTTAATAAAAGTCTTGATTGATTCCCATTCCTCGGTATCCTCGTACTCTGTGCTGTCCAGTTGATCAACTGTTTCATTTCTGAAGTTTATGACAACAACGAAATAATGATCTTCCTTCTTAAAAGGAAAAAATATCTTCAAACCAAATTATTCAATCTTTAGATGTAAAGAATTATTTATTTACTTTTAAGATATTTAATTTAACTTTCACTAGGCGAAAAAGGCAAATAGGCACCAGTTCAAACCCCCTCTTTGGCACCGGTTTTGAACCGTTAGGTATTTGAGGGATGCCAAATGTCTGAAGATTTGGCACCGGTTCAAAACCGGTGGCTATATAAAGATTTGGCCATTTGCCTGTAGGTTGGCCCACCTTGTCGTACTCCAGGACATGGGACTGACAGGTTTCTTGAAACTTGTCGTCGGACCCCTCAACTTTTTCTTCGCTGGTGCCTTCACCCCCCCTCCACTTTGTTCTTGGCTTTGAGTGTGGGAAATGTGATTCTGACCAAACGTCTCAGAAATTGCATTTTCGATAGGAGGCGCTTGTTCAGCTGCAATTTCAAACTCATCAAGCATACGCTCCAAATCATTTTGAGCCTGATCTTCTGCCTCACCCAAATCAGGCTCCTTGTTCACATCATACAGCTCGTCCCCATCCTCAGAGGAATCATCATCATCATCCTCTACATCTTCAACTCCAATACGGTACTGATCGTCCGCCATGAGATGTAAAAACCTGTCATTACAAACATAACACGTTATTAGTTGTGATATAAATAAAATTGTAAGGTAATAATGTTATAATCAAATCCAAATTGCTAAATTATAATACAAATCAACATAAAAAATGGGCAAGTGTAGGTCGTTTTTTTTCGGTATTTCAAATGTTTTAAAAGTTACTTCATTCATTTAAAAGAAAATAAGAAAATGGGCAAGTAAGTTAACAATTTCATTCATTTTTACCTAACCTGTGATTTAATAATACTTTCTACGCCTACAATTTCAAACTAACAAAAAATAGTATCTCAATCTAATATTCCTTCGTTGTGGTCTGATCGCATGTAATTGGCTTGGTCGTCTATCTCATTTGGTACAACAGGTCTAGGAATAGTGAAAGGTGCCGAGTCATCAAACGCATCATATTCTTCCTCATCCTCGACATCTCCAACGCCAAGGATTCTTCTTTTACCGGCTAGGAAATAGACCATTTTGAATCGGCTGGGTCAGTTACGTAAAACACTTGCTTAGCTTGAGATGCAAGGATGAATGGTTCCGCAATATCATTCAGGTGGCCAAGATCTACAAGAGTAAAGTCATCATATTTGACGTTACGCCTAATATTATCAACCCACTTACACCGGAAAAGAGCAATCGTGAAGTTACAATAATCAAGCTCCCATATTTCTTGAATTCGATTGTAGTATGACAACTCTGAATCAACGGGTGATTATCCTTAGCACTTGCAAACTCCTTTGACGATGCCACTAGCGTTACACCACTATTTTGGGTCGAGGAAGATTTCAAATCTTGACGCTCAGTCTGTGTACCCATTTATGTCATATCCCTCAAATGAGCGAACATCATCCCTAGGACCATAAGCAAGCCACCTTACTATATCTGTGACACTCTCATCCATTCCACCCATCACTCGGTCACGAAACCAACTCACAAACTTCTTATTATGCAACTGCATCAGTGTCTTTCACCTTTCGATGGAAATTCATCACGCAAACTAGCCATGTGCTCGTCTAAATAAGGGTGAACATTTGCAACATGGTGCAACATGTGTAGGTTTGCTTGTAAGAACTTATATCGATCAGGTGACATTCGTTTCGACCCAATTGTGCCATGACCATCAAGTCTCCCTTCATGTCGAGAAGTAGGAATACCGATAGGTTCATCAACGGCTATATAGTCGGCCACAAAATTACCAATCTCCTCAGCCACGGTCCCTTGAATCATACTTTCTTCCGGGTGAGCCCGATTCCTTACCTTATTTTGCAATGTTCCCCATGTGTCTTTAAAAAAGATAGCACCACCTCATGAACACTGGACCGCACAATTTAATCTCACGCACCAAATGAAGAATCAAATGCACCATTATGTCAAAAAATGAGGGTAGGAAGTACATCTCAAATTTGCACAAAGTCACAACCACATCCGCCTGTAAAGCATCAAGTGTACAAGGATCAAGCACTTTATTGCATATTGTATTGAAAAACTAACAGAGGCTTG